TATATATATATATATAAAGGAAACCCCAATCATTTGTAAACAGGAGGAATCATTAGCAAATAATATACTCTCCTACTTTTCTGCCTACTGCTCATCTGAATCATTTTACTATTACTTTATTTCTTATTGTTCTTGCTCATCTACCTCGAGGTCACCTTTGCTCGAGGTCGAGGTCTGCTTACACGATTGGTTTGACTTGTTTTGCTCTTAAATTTATACATTAGATTCTTTGTTTATTAATTAGTATTGGATTAAATCATATATCTTTAAAACCATAAACAAATTTAATTGTTACTTGTATTTTCGAGGTAAACAAGATTCCTTGTTTATTAATTAGTATTGTATTAAATCACATATCTTTAAAATCACAAACAAATTTAATTGTTACTCGAATTTTCGAGGCAAACAAATGCTAACTTAGATAAAATTACTTTCTCCAAATTTGTGTATGAGTTAACAAAGCACTCATTGCACTAGTTTGAGGGCAAAAAGGATACTTCTTCCAAAGTATTAATTTCAGTAGCAACGAATGGAAACAATGAAATAATGTTTTCTTGCTAGTCAAAATAAAATATTACATGAAGATTCAATAGCACGTTATGTGATTAATGGGAAGGAAAGGATCGTACGGAGCTTAGATCCATATATCCAGCTTCACATGTATTAGGGGTTCATTAATGGTGATTAACTTTGCTTCATCAAGAGAGGTCCCCTCCATTTAAATCACATTAGTACTATTTAGTTCAAAAGCTTCCAATGGCAAAAAGAAGCAGCAAATCCACAAACTATATACCAAAAGTGTTCCTAGATTAACAGTGGTGGAACTATGATTTTAACTTTACATATTTTGGATTCTAAAAAAGCAACATATCATGTGATCTTTTAATACAATAGATTTAGGATGAAACTATTAGGTTCTGCCAAATGTGTAATAGAAATGTAGCTCCGCGTCTGCCCAGATAATATACTTACTTGGATGTCTTTAATGGTCAATGTAAAAATTGAAGTATAAATTTAGACATCATTAAATTGGCACATCATTAAAAATTGAAGTATAGATTTTGCCAAAACAATTTCAATTTTTTTTTTGGCAAATACATGTTTGTTTATAAATTTATCCATATTTTGGCAAATTTCAAAAATCCAAGAGCTGGTTTTAACCCAAAATATTACAATTATATTTTTTTAAAAATTGCCCCAATTTGTATTTTTATAAAAGAGCCCACCATTTATTATTTTGTAACAATGTTGCTTCGTCTTTTCCGTTATCTGATAGCGTATTATGTAGTTCATTGTGTACGGTAAAATCGGGGGCGACCAATTTCCTCGTCATTATGGTGCCCCAACGTGCTTCTCGAGGTTCGAGGCTGAGGTCGGGGCTTACTGTCAAGGGTCGTCCGGGCCCGATCTCGGGGCAGTGCAGACCAACGACTATATTAGAAAAGAGGGAAGTTCCCAAGATACTTGGCTAAGACTGACAGAGCCTAGCGGGCTATTCTAAACCCAATGTATGGCATCAAGACATCGTATCTAGCTGTCCCATCCCCGTATCCGAGTAGTTAATGTATTTTGTACTATGGTAAGATCCCTTTCCTATATAAGGGGCATTCCTACCATTCTTGTAAACTCTGTTGCTCCAGCTGCTCCTTAATAAATATAGAAAAACACTCTCTTGATATTATTGCTCTCATTTATTATATTCTTATTTGTTCATCATTTATTTCTTATGATTGGCCATAAAGAGCCCTCTTTGATCATCTCATAACTGTTAGCCTTACCTCGGTGACCCACAGCTCGCGGCCAAGTCCCGGGATTAACCTCGAGGCCCAGAATCGACAAGCCCGAGGTCCCAAGCAACTGGCCTATCGGTTTGGTTATAACTCCCTCCTTAACCTTATTTCGTCTCTAAATCTCACATACTTAGCATCAACTGCTACACAAATCGGCGTAAAAATAGATCACGTATTTTTAGGAGTCCCATCAACAAATTTAATTGTCATTATCATTTTTACGGTAAACAGTTTGGCGCCCATCGTGGGGCTAAAAATAATAGTGATTATTTTCTTGCTGATTTTACTACATAATGCAAGTTATCTTTCACGCTTTTTCTTGTCCAAGATCTTCAAACTTCAGGTTGAAATGCTCGACTCATCAGACAGAGGTGAAAACAACTACTTGGAAGATCGGGGATAAAGTGATGTGGCTGTTCCAGCCTGGGCACAAAAAGAGGCCCCTCAGCACGACGTTCATATGATTATTGGAGGAGCCAACATCCCCTAAGAGCCCATGATCAAGAAGACAAAAATATCCGCCGCAACAGAAGGGCCAATCCGAGACCATGTGGCCGAATACACCCTCATATTCAGTGAAGAAGATCTCGAGACCTTGATAGAACCACACAACGACGCGCTGGTAATCGCATTCCTTTTAAACAGCGTACGAGTTAAATGTGTGCTCGTGGATCCAAGCAGCTCGGCCAACGTGATCAGATCAGGAGTAGTAGAGCAGCTGGGGCTACTCGACCAGATCATACCCAACTCTCGGGTCCTCGACGGCTTCAACATGACCAGCGAAGTAACAAAAGGAGAAATCACCCTCCCAGTCGACACGTCCAGCACGGTTCGGAACACAAAGTTTCAAGTCATCAATGGAGACATAAGATATAATGCACTGCTTGGCAGACCGTGGATACATAGCATGAGGGCAGTACCATCAACCCTGTCGCGCCCCCTTTTTTCCCTCCCTTTTTACGGGGAAGAAAGGTTTGGGTTTCGACATTTATGGAGGTAATAACTCATTTTCTTTTGGGAATTGGGTATTTTGAAGAGTCGTCACCTAACTGATTATGGTGCGTAAGGGCACCTAAAGCGATTAACTCTTGAATTGGTTTGCATTACCAGAGATTTAGGGTAAGGGCTCGAAATAACCTTAAGGGGAAGGTGTTAGGCACCCCTCTTGGTCCACAACTGTGGGTCCCAACCTGACTTATACTTATGAATTAGTCTTTTAACAGATAAGTAATTGAAACATATAATTGCAAATAAAGCATGTTGGACATTGTATGACTCAAATAATAAGACAGGGGATTTGAACAAGTTATATAGAAAAGTAAAGCTTTTTAGGCAAAGGGAATTTGGGAAGGAGAGGTCCTAGGTTGGTTAGCCTACAGGATCACCCCATGGAATGCCCGATAAACACTCCTCAATGAGGGGATACATGTGATATTAACGCGTAGTCATCATATCCATATCTACCCATTCTCTACCCCTTAGTGGTTATTAAAACGAGTGTTGTTTAACGATCCTTGTGCGTGCTGTTACCCGTCCCTTCTTAATAGTCCTGGAGGAAATTAAGACCTCTTACCTATAGACAGTTTTAGACAAACCCCTAAGGTTTAAAGGAGAAAATACTAAGGCGACAAGCAAGAACACATAGGACTCTTAGCAAATAAAAGTAGGAAGGAGCAGATAAAAGGCTCAGTTTACCTCCACAGATAAGGCATGTAAATAGCACGACTCAAACACAAATAGGGGCAGTATTGCTAAACAGGACCTTAAGACATGATGTCTAGGTGAGTATCAGAACGCAAGAGGCATGCAAATTTATTTTATAACTCATAAGCAAGGGCCCTAATCAGTTTGCCTACTGATTTAAGCCTGTTAATCATTAAGCAGTACATACAAAAGGGGCAGTTTCCAGCTTTATAAGAAATTAGATTACCTAAGGCTTGCCTAGGCATATGATAATGCACAATTATTACCGGAACCATTAGAACAATGAAGGGGGTATTTACCTAAAAACATATTGTCCTAAGTGTTATAAAATACATGGATTATTGCCCGTTTATTTTAAATAGGATAATCAAATGTGAAGCTGTCTTTACATCTTCCATAATCAGTAATTTACACTAGGTGTGACTTAGCAAGTACGAATGAGATCCTAAAGCATGTTATCTAATATGCACGTATAAATGCAACATGATTACATGATACGCAAAATTCCTAAAGCATGATTTCTAATATGCACGACATGATTGCAGAGTTTCCTAAAGCAGGATTAAATGCATAGAAGGTTACATCATTGTAGAGCATGATGTCAAGTGTGCAAGAGTAACAATCTTTGTTTTAATGCCCTTTATCCTAGAACAGGATTTCTGAGTGATAAGAATGTCAAAAATGAGATGCTGAAACAGTATACATGAGACCTAAGAGCATGGTTTCTAATGCATGATATGCTTTGAACATGGATTCTATTGCGCATATAGGAAATATAAACTTAAAGCATGGTTTCTACCCTTTTGATGTCTATAACATGCATAGCTACCCTCCAATTTTCACTATCCAACCCCAATGTTCGTTTACAAATTATTACAGGCCAATATCGAATGAATTACACAAGTAGATAAGAAAAAATAAGAAGTTACTCTATAGGGAGCCTACAAATAGGCCCAGATTTCCAAAGTTTCCAATGCCTGATTGCCTCACAACTTTTCACATAATCCGGGTGTGTCAGAGTTCCCTAAGGACCTCAAGGGATCCCGGGCAGTGCTCACACCCAGATTTTATAATCATAGTTGAGTAAGTGTAGTGTAGAAGTGCTAACTCTAATGTATCAGAGTTCAGAGGAATCTCATAGGGATCCCTAAGCAGTCACACATTAGAGGGCCAAAACTTAGAACCTAAGAGTAGATGTAAAGGTGCTTGAAAAGATTTAAGCAGGGAAACAGTTTGAAAAGGGACTTGTTTGAAATAGTTTTGTAAAAAGACAACAGAGACAGTTTTGAAAAGAGAGTAGAGTAATAAGCAACAGTCCAAACACAGCACTCCAAAACAGGTTTATACACAGCCAGAGAATATAGAACCAAGGCAGGTTCAGCAACCACAAATAGGGGTAAAGGGATTTGGGGACACATAGGTCATATAGGTAAACACATAGTTGCAGGATTATAGCAGTCCTTGTGGGGGTTTATGGGGATTAGGGAATAGCTAGTGATACCAACACAGTATGGATTTCAGAAACAATCATAGAATCAGACATTTAAAGTGACAAATCAGTTTGCAAAGTAGATAACAAGTAGACAAGTATTCAAAACAGGGTAGAGTCATACTGAAACAGACTACCAGGGAAGTAGAACATGTTCTGAGATACCCTAAGAGGATTAGACTAGTATGCTAGATGGAGCAATAATGTAAACATGTCAATTACACATTGAACAACATAACCATAGTTAGAAACAAATCAGAAACATGATAAACTGAAGCAGCAAAAGAAAAATATTGGTTTTAGGACTTGAATTGAAATCAGAACATACCAGTAAGAGACAGTAAACACAAAGTGAAGAATAGAAGAGCACAATAGTCAGCCTTGGCTTGCAGCCGACTAACTTAGAACAGTAGTAAGTAATCACAAAAGAGGGCAGAAAACTTTAAGTGTGTGAGAGAGAGTTATTGAACCAATATGTTTGTGTGTGTAATGAAAAGAGAAGAGAGTTATATAATAGTTTGAAAGTTAGGTAAAATAAGGCAAGAATCAATTATTCAGCAATTATAGAACTACAGAATCAATTAAGAACGAAAATCAGCCAAGTATCCCTTAATTAAGGAGTAATTTACCAACGGCAGAAAGCAGGTAACAGATGAGGAAAGAATTAAAACAACATAGGTACAGAATATGTAATTAGGGATAGATACATAAGGGTTTAATTAAGGAAATAACAGTAGAAATCAATTAATAATACAATCAACCACATAATAAGGTAAAAAATAATTTAAGGGTTATGAAAAATAGGAAAAATAGCCGAAAATTGGTATAAGAGTATCAACACAGAAAATCAAGGATTCAAGAATCGAAAAATAGTACTAATATTAAGTGAAATAGTATAGACTTCCATGAATAAACCAATAAATGGAGTACAAACAGGAAGAACCAAATCGAAAACCTTAATAAGATATTACTAGGATGAAAATCATAGAAGTACTCTAATTAATCGCAGCATATTCATGAGAATCAAACACATAGAAAAATCGAATGAACAAACAGTAAAGACGAACTCAAAATCCAAGACTAAAGCCAAAAAATTAGGGGTTTTCAACATAATGAATAAGATAAAAGAAAAACTTAAATAAACCGTTTAAACATAGTAAAAATTATAGAATAATACTGAAAATCAGAGGAAAGGTCATTTTGAAAAGGGGGTTAAGAAACCCTAGTTTTGAAGACGAAGAGGCGTTTTGAAAAATCGGAGAGTTTATCATGGAAAATAGCAAAAATAACTCAAAATATACTCAGATTATGGTAGATCGGAAGAGTCAAGAGATAAGTTAGGGTTTCAGAGAGAGATAACCCAGAGATGGAGAGATTCCGGTTTAGAAGCCATAGATCTAGCCAGAAAATAGAAATATCTTACTCGGATGGGCCAAGGTGGCCTGAGAATGGCGAGAATCAGGCCATAGGTGTGAGTGAACAGCCACTGGTCCCTTGAGGACCTTCGAGATGACAAGAATCTGGCATGTGGGGGAACCATGGAGGCTAGGGGTGGTGGTGGAACCACCATTGATGCCGGCGAGCCAACGACCGGCGAGTAGGAGCCGTGGTTATACAAAGAGCTTGAGAGAGAATGAGAGAGTGTAACGACGGAGTGAAGAGAGGAAAATGAGGGTTTGGGGAGAGGGTAGTCCATTAGGTTAAATTAGGAAGGAATTAACCTGGGCCGTTGATAAAAAATGATCAACGGCCAGGATTTGGGTGGACTTGGGTCGGGTAGAATTTAGGTTTGGGTCTGGGGTATTGAGCTGATTTAATTGGGATTTTGGAGCTGGTTTATTAGGTTAAAATTGAAATAAATAGTCTATTTGTTAAATATCCAATTAAATTAAATAAAACAATTTATAAAAATAGCTGATAATTGTACAAATGAATTTCATGCATAGAAAATAGTTAAAATGCAAAGTTATTGCAATTATAGCCAAAAGATGCCAATTTGGCCAATTATGAAATAATTTGATTCAAATAAGACCATAAATAATACATTAAATCAAGAAATACTTTTGAAATTAATTGTGATGCAATTCTGTAATTATTTATTGGAAATAAAATGCTGGATACATTAATAAAAATATAGAAAAATTGTGGAAAAATATCAATTGCTATTAATGCATGATTTTGAAGGTATATATGCAATTTTAAAATATTTT